GCCCGCCTCGGCCTCCCAAAGTGCAGGGATTAGAGGCTTGAACCACCGCGCCCAGCCTGCTTTTTGTTTTTGTATCAGTGACAAATAACCTTTTTGGCTGGTTTAATGGCTTCAGGTTCTGGAATTCTTGCTTTGTTCTAAATGTCAATAGTATAGCAAAAATATTAATAATAAATAATACAATATAAATAATAGCAAAAATACACAGGCAGTTCAAAAACAGAGAATTAAAATGTTATGCTAAAAAATATTTATTTCCCCACTGCTTAATTTGACTGGCTTTGAAAAAAAAAGGCTGGGCAAGGTGGCTCATGCTTGTAACGCAGCACTCTGGGAGGCCAAAGCTGGAAGATTGCTTGAGCCCGGGAGTTTGAGGCTGCAGTGAGCTGTGATTGCACCACTGTACTCCAACCTGGGCGACAGAGTGAGACCCTGTCTCAAGAAAAAAAAAAAAAGAGAGACTGGGAAGGTTGCACCCAGCTGGGTGGCCACTGGGTGGTGGGCTGGAGCTGCTCATCATGCCAGGACTTGGGCTTCAGCCTCAGCTTGCGGTTTCAGGTAGAGGCCACATTCCATTTCAACACTCCCACCCCTCCCAGAATGTCATGGTGCAGGGTCTCGGAAGAGGTATCAAGCCCACGGTGACTGCATTTCCCATTGGGAGATGGACTGAGTCCCACACACCACAGGTACTCACTCAGTTGGGACTTTAGCAGGGTGGCTAGCTAGTCCTGGTTTGCCCCATACTGTCCTGATTTTAAAATGGAAAGTCCCACATCTCAAGAACTCCTCAATCCTGGGCAAACTGAGACAGTGGGTCACCCTAGTGGGGCCTGTCTGGTGTGTGCCTTCTGCAAGGTGATCATTGGGCTAGGCTGGGTTCTGACTGAAAGAGAGCACTTTGAGGCCCACTGAGACCAAGCCTCCATTCTGGCCCTGCCAGGATCCTGTTTGGATGCACCAAGACCAGCTTGTGTTGGGCAGTGCATGCTGGGTGGAGTTTGCTGTGTATTGGCAAATCTTATTTGTCTTCCTCTTTAAAAACCACCTCCTGGCCAGGCGTGGTGGCTCACGCCTGTAATTCCAGCACTTTGGGAGGCCGAGACCAGTGAATCACAAGATCAGGAGTTCAAGACCAGCCTCGCTAACATGGTGAAACCCCGTCTCCACTAAAAATACAAAAATTAGCTGGGTGTGGTGGCGGGTGCCTGTAATCCCAGCTACTCGGGAGGCTGAGGTAGGAGAATTGCTTCAACCTGGGAGGTGGAGGTTGCAGCGAGCCGAGATTGTGCCACTGTACTCCAGCCTGGGTGACAGAGTGCGACTCTGTCTTGGGGAAAAAAAAGAAAACCACCTCCTTAGAGTCAATCGACTGTATGTCTTTACCAGTCATAGACTTGGGCAGGCTTTGGTCTACATTCTTGCATTTGTGATAGGAGGTGAGGAAAAGACTGAGACCATAGTGAGTTCCTTTTACTGGTCACCAGGCCTGGGAAAGTCATTGATTTTTCTAGCCTCAGTTTAATGGGGATAATACTCCCAGCAGTGTTGTGACACTCAGATGAAAAAATGAATCTCAAAGAGCTTTGCAAACCTCAGTAGGAGTGGTCCTTGTGATATTGCATTGATGCCTGTTTCCTTCTAGAAAAACCTAAGCTGCCTTCACTATGCAGCCCTCAGTGGCTCGGAGGATGTGTCTCGGGTCCTCATTCATGCAGGAGGCTGCACCAACGTGGCTGATCATGTAAGCGTGGGTACGAGGGTTGAAGGGGGTCTCCATTGCAAAGCCTTCCATGAGCACACTAATGAAGCACAAGGAGAAACGGGAACATCAGACCCTTGGGGTTGGGGTGCGGACCAGGAGTAGGGGAGCCGGCAGCACTTAGGAGAGTGAAATACTGTTGTGGCTGTAATAGGATTAGAAACCAAGCTTGCTATTCCTCTGAACTGAATTATCAGCTCCTGTTCTCTGCTCATTTATGCATTGGGGCGTTTTTTTTTGTTTTTTTTTTTTTTTGACAGAGTCTTGCTCTGCTGCCCTGGCTGGAGTGCAGTGGTGCAATCTCGGCTCACTGCAGCCTCTGCCTCCCAGGTTCAAGCAATTCTCCTGCCTCAGCCTCCTGAATAGCAGCTGGAACTAGAGGCACACACCACCATGCCTGGCTAATTTTTTTTTGTATTTTTGGTAGAAAAATACATGGGGTTTCACCACGTTGGCCAGGCTGGTCATGAACTCCTGACTCAAGTGATTCGCCTGCCTCAGCCTCCCAAAGTGCTGGGATTACAGGCATGAGTCACTGTGCCAAACCTAGGCATTGGGTTTTACTATTAATCTTTTATGTTGCCTATCTGTCCACTTAATTGTTAATCTTTTTCCTGTTATACATTTGGTCCACACACAGGAACCATATAATCTTTTGGTTAAAACACAGACTTTGGAAGTGCAGCGCTTCACACCTGTAATCCCAGCACTATGGGAGGCTGAGGCTAGAGTATTGCTTGAGCTCAGGACTTTAAGACCAGCCTGGGTAATCTAGGGAGATCCCATCTCTACAAATTTTTTTTTGAAAAACTGGCTGGTCGTGGTGGTATACACATGTAGTCCTAGCTATTCGGGAGGCTGAGGCAAGAGGACTGCTTGAGCCCAGGAGGTTGAGGCCACAGTGGGCCATGATCACACCACTGCACTCCAGCCTGGGCAACAGAGTGAGATTCTGTCTCAAAAAAAAAAAAAACAAAAATTGGCTGGGCATGGTGGCATGAGCCTGTAATCCCAGCACTTTGGGAGGCCAAGGTGAGCAGATTGCTTGAGGCTGGGAGTTCGAGACCAGCCTGGGCAACATGGCGAAACCCCATCTCTACAAAAAATATAGAAAATTAGCCAGGCGTGGCTGGGTGCGGTGGCTCACATCTGTAATCCCAGCACTTTTGGAGGCCAAGGCTGGCAGATCATGAGGTCAGTAGATCAAGATCATCTTGGCTAACATGGTGAAACCCTGTCTCTACTAAAAATACAAAAAATTGCCAGGCGCGGTGGCTCACGCCTGTAATCCCAGCACTTTGGGAGGCTGAGGCGGGCGGATCACGAGGTCAGGAGATCGAGACTATCCTGGCTAACACGG